AGATTAGAAATAATTCTCATATAATATATAGCCTCTGATTCATGGTTGTACCCTGCAGGTGCTCCCCAAGTGGCAGGATGCACGTGTACAGCTGCCCAAAGGCGTGTCAGGTCTGGTCAAGCGTGGCATTCCTGAGGCACTTAGAGGGGAGGTGTGGCAACTCTTGGCTCGCTGTTGTGATGATACTGACATGATGGAGACCTACAGAGTGCTCATTACAAAGGTGAGTTCTTGTTTTTTTGGTTTGTGTAATTGCTGATCCTTGAAGTTTATCTATATTTGTCTGTGGTAATAGTTGATACATCTTCTCTATGTATACAAAGCATGTATTTCATGAATGTGTATGCAAGTACCTGCACAAACATTACCATAATTTCTTGATTGTTTGCACCTTATCTTGAGCTGTGGTTCTAATAACACTTCCAATATGATCTACAATTTATTTATTCATCTTACCTTTTTTGCTCCCAGTAGTTTATGATTTCATATATATATCTTTGATGGAAATTGCCATTCTGTAGTGCTACCAAAAAAAAAGAAAAAAAGTTTTGATTTTAAAAGCGAGCATCTGATAATTTTTTTTCTCCCTTATATTTATGATGTTTAAACATTAACAGTATTTATGGACATTAAATACTTATCACATTAATTTTTGTTAGCAGTTTAGTTGTACATAATTTTTTTACATTTCAGGACTGTCCCAGTGAACAAGTGATTCTCCGAGATATCAACCGCACTTTCCCGGCCCATGACTACTTCAAGGAAGCCGGTGGAGTAGGCCAGGACTCCCTCTACAAAATCAGTAAAGCTTATGCTGTGTATGATGAAGAAGTGGGATACTGCCAGGGGCTTTCCTTCCTCGCAGCAGCACTGCTTCTCCACGTAAGTCTGCATCAGATTATAATAGACACTGGGATATTAGATAGTTTAGAAGATTCTCTTTGACTTATTTCATTGTATGTGTGTGTCCATATTCCCCATGCAGTGGTTGATACTGCCATGTTCCCTTGAATTACAGATATTATATCCCCAAACTATGTTTTGAGACCATATATATAGTTGAGAACAACTGAAAAGCCAAAAGCATTTTAGGTGGTACATAGATGGGGGGCATTGATTCCCATAAAAAGTTTTTTCAGCAAAGCTTCCCACAGGACTTAATGATTCAGTTTGCATAATATGGATGGAGCAAATAAATGTATTTCGGGAATCTGCAGTAGCTTTCTAGGAAAACACATGAGGATTTTAAAAGAGTCTTCCTAAGTTCTCAAAAAAATTACTGAGACCTGGATTTTTTTCTTTACAGATGCCTGAGGAACAAACCTTCTGTGTCCTTGGTAAAATTATGTTTGAGTATGGGCTGCGCGACCTCTTCAAGGATGGATTTGAGATTCTCCATATGCGTTTTTATCAACTTGGGAAGTTGATGGAAGTAAGTAGCTGGCCTCTCCCCCCCCTTATTTCACTCTTTTGTAAAAAAGACAGTTTCATGACAAATGGAAGTAAAATACTAATGGTGTTATCACTGAAATACATCTTCAGATACTTGAGTAGGATCATGTCATTATGATATCATTTTGCTATAAGTGAATGAAGGTTAATGATATATTATTATCATTAATGATACATCCCTTCTGCTTAATCATCACAGGAACAACTCCCAGATGTGTGGCAGCACTTCCAAGAGCAAGGTGTTGAGATTCACATGTTTGCTAGTCAGTGGTTCCTCACATTATACACGGCCAAGTTCCCTCTCTTCATGGTGTTCCATTACTTGGACCTCTTCCTGCTCACAGGCATTGACTCTGTGTTCCAAGTGGCTCTGGCTTTATTGCAGGTAGTTGCTCATGATATAAATTTTGATGATATAATGTAATGCATTTGATATATTGCAGGTTATGGCAAGAACGTGGCATGGCATAGGTATAGTCAAGCAAGAAATGATTATCCTTTGCATATGTCTGGGTTGTATACACTCAATTAGCTTCTATTATTACTGAAAAAATGGAGGAACTTGAAACAGATTTATCAGAATATTCTTAATAATTTGGACTGAATTTACCTTGACGGTGTATTACATGACCTTTCACATCAATTTGTAAACTACATTCATTCAACCTAAAGCTCTTTATAAGATGTGCTTATCCCTGAAAAATTAACTGCCCAGATTATGAGGTCTCCACATGTCATACCAAATTTTATGGCAGTTAGAGCAAAAACTTGTAATGTTATAAGGTGTCACCCAATGTTTGGGAGTTTTTTCACCATGAGGTAATGACACATAAATGTCATGATTAGGTTAGAGGGCTTTGGCCTTTGTTTGTGTTAGAAAATGGTGATTATGTGGTATCAGTGAGTGTTTGATTTAGTTAATAAATCTAAAGAATGTATTAATTTGATTTTCAAGAGTGTGAGTAAAGAACAATTGGTTTTGTTTCAGTTTTAGTAGTAATGATTGATTTTACAAGTTAATCCATATCCAATGAAAATGCTGAAGTCTACTCCCTAAACAGATGTCCAAGAAAGAACTGCTGTCATCTGACTTCGAGGGTATTCTCAAATACTTCCGGGTGTCACTGCCCAAGAAGTATCGCAATGAGGACACTGCCCGGCAACTGTTCAAGTTGGCCACATCAATCAAGGTGAAGAAGTTGAAGAAATATGAGAAGGAGTACTTGGCCATGAAAGGTAAGCTTTGTGATGGTTTAAAGAGTTCTTGTTATATCCACTTACAGAGTTGAATTAACCCACTGTCGCCAGGAAAATGTGTTCTCTGTAGTATTGTTTTGTGAAATGTATCTACACATAGATGGCTCTGCAAGTGCTTAAACACAGAGGTGTTCATTAGTAGATCTTGTGACCTCACCTGATTTCACCTTATTAACAGTAATTTAAGATACCAGATTTTTTTTTTTTTTTTCAATAATCAAGGTAAAGGGTAAATAGGTGAGATAGTACTCTTAATTACCTCATTTGTGAAATAGTACTTGTGGAGACATCTATATATACAAACACTTATTAAATACATACATGCTATCCCTGGCGGCATTGGGTTAAAGTTTTTTTTAAATTTTTTTTGCTTTCTTTTTCTTTTTTCATTTTCTTTTTTCTTTCCTCCCCCTTCTTATTTGTTCTTGTTTTTTTTTTCTTCATCTTTACTAATGATGACAAGAGAAGATATTTTCTTCTCTTCTTTGTTCTTATCTCTCATTTTTATTTTAATTTCTCACATCATACCTCTCCCCTCCTCCCTCCTCTCTCTCTCTCTCTCTCTCTCTCTCTCTCTCTCTCTCTCTCTCTCTCTCTCTCTCTCTCTCTCTCTCTCTCTCTCTCTCTCTCTCTCTCTCTCTCTCTCTCTCTCTCTCTCTCTCTCTCTCTCTCTCTCTCCTCTCCCTCTCCCTCTCTCCTCCTCCCTCCCTCCCTCCTCCTCTCCCTCCCACTCACACTGCCTCTCCCCCACCCCCATGCTCTTTCTTGCTCTTACTCTTTCCTCTTTCTTCCCATTCCTCTTCTCTTTTCCTTCCTCCTCTCTCTCGCTCTCCCTTTATATCTTCTGCACTTCCTTGCCCTCCTTTCCTTTCATCTTTATTCCTTCTTCTATCATTCTCCTGTTATATACCTCCTCCTTCCCCTCTCCTTTTATCTTTCTATCCTCTCTCTCCTCCCTTCCCTGTTATATCCTTCCTTATGTCCCTCCTTTCGTCTCTGATTCTGTATACTGCACTGTCTAGTGTGCAAACATAAAAAAAAAAAAAAAAAAAAAAAAAAACATTAGCAGGAGCTGGCATAAAAATCTGTGATTGCCATACATTTGTACATTTACCTGCATGTATTTATGTTTCTCGTTCATTTCATCAATGCAGTGATTGCATTACATCTTTAGATTTTTTCAATATCAGTAGATTAAAAGAAGGATAATAATGGCAATTGCAGATCATAGGAGAGTAAACAAGTACAAAATACTTGGCAACTCATACTCATGCTCTACGCTTTGATAAGTAGAGATAATGAGAGAGGGTTCATGAGTGCAGTTGACACTAGGGCCTCATCGATCACAGACAAAGTTGAGACACTTGCATGGACAGATTAAGATGGAAAAGAAACAGTAGGTTATCTGGAAGGAGATTTGCAGCTGAGGATTGTGTTTTTAATCGTGGACAGGGTGATGAGGAGGAAGAGGAGGGGTCTCAGAAACGTCGTCCAGGAGAGGAGGGTTAACTTTACAAAGGTGCAAGTAGGAGGTGGGAGTAGTGGGTTGGAGAGTATAGAATACTGGTAAATAAAGGGTTGTCTGGATCATTATAGTAGTAGTTTTGAAGAAATCCCTTACAACAAAACAGAGATGTAGTGGTTATTTATACTGTGTAAGTTTATTCAACACTGTCCTTTTTAAGTATGTCGGATTTCACATTCAGTAGTTTTTCTTGGGTATTAGTAGAGTTTGTGAGACCGGATGATTTCCATACACATGAACTATATGTAATATCAGGTTGATTTGTAAGTATTGGATTGCATTGACATAGATCTGAGTATAATCTCTACTTTTAATCCCCAAACGCAGAACAAGAGGCTATGCAGGAGGACCCTGTAGTCCGCCTGGAGCGTGAGAATCGTCGTCTGCTGGAAGATAACATGAGGCTTGAGCGTGAAAATGATGATCTAGCACATGAGCTTGTTACTAGCAAGATAAATATGAGATACAGCATGGATAAGGTAAGGATTTGGAAAAAGATTAGATAAATCATGCAAATCATGTCAGATTCTTCAGATGCAAAACTTGATTTCTAAGTTTGAAAAAAAACAGTAGATCTCCTTTAAGCATACTTGGCACTCTGAGAATTAAGAGACAGGATGTTATTGGTGTATATAGAAAGGGCTTAGTTTTAAAGGATTAATTCATCCACCATTACCAGTGACAAGAGTGTTGTATATCAAATCCCTGTTTCAGTTGGAAGACAAGTGTGATAGTTTGAATAAGGAGGTCACAAGTGTCAATTCAA